AGATGGACAGACAGACGGATGGAGAGACAGACAAATGGACAGACAGAGAGCTAGACAGAGAGATAGACAGAGACAGACAGACGGATGGACAGATGGACAGGCAGACAGATGGATGGACGGATGGACAGACAGATGAACAGACAAACAGACAGATGAACAGACTGACGGAGAGACAGACGGATGGACAGATGGACGGACGGACAGACAGGTTACCTGTGTGTCCTCCAGGTGTCTCATCAGGGCTCGGTTGGCTCCACACATGTCCTCCTCCTGCTGTCTGACCTCCTGCAGCTCCTCCTCCAGATTCTGTTTCTCCATCTGAACATCAAGTATAAAACTGGTACTGAAACTGGTACTGTTCATACTGCAGCTTTAACAGGTTGCTGATTCTCACCATCAGCTGCTCCACACGTGCTGTCAGGAGCTTCTCATGCTCTTGCTTCTGCTGGATGAGATGGTGGAGGGAAGAGATCTGCTCCTCCAGAGTGCAGATCTTCTGCTGGAGCTCTGCTTTAGTCTGCTTCAGCTCTGAGATCAGCGTCTGACCGGCTCTTTTCTCTGCAGCCACCTCCAGAACCTTCTGACCCAGCAGAGCCACACTCTGGAGCAGAGGAAGAGGACGGAGGGGCGTCAAGTCAGCTTTAATTCTATAGAGCTACATACAATAGACTGTACATGAAATAAAAGTGAACTGAAATGAAACACAATATAGAAACGTGCCTCTTTGGCCTCCTGTGTGGCTTCCAGGAGTCTGTGGATCTCCTGCTGGTGCTCCTCCTGCAGCGCCTCCACATCTCTGGCGTGAGCTGAGATCTCCTCCTCTAGCGCCTCTAGCAGGGCTTTCAGCTCCCTGTCCCTCCGGTGTAGCGCCTCCTCCTGCTCCTCCTGCACCTGCTGCAGGGCCTCGAACTCCCCATGCAACTGAGACAGATCCTGAGAGACGGACGGAGAGATTCTCACCTCACACAAATCATTACATGAAAATGAAGGGGTCAGAGGTCGTACCTGCAGCAGCCTGTCTCTCTCTCCGGCCTCGCAGCTCTTAGCACTGTCTAACTCATCATGGATGTCAGACAGCTGCTGCTGCAGATCCCTCATATCAGAACGACACTGATCACGAGCTCTTCTGGCCTGCAGGAGTCTGAACACACACACACACATATCACACACACACACACACACACACACACACACACACACACACACTGTGTGTGTGTGTGTGTGATCTCTACTCACTGGTCCAGTGAGGTCTGCAGCTCTTTCTCCATGTCGGTGAGTTTATGGCGGACTATGATCTGCTCCTGTTCGTTCCTCTCTAGCGTCTCCTGCAGTCTCTTCAGCTCGGCGTTTCTCTCCTCTTTCTGCTCAGACAAACTCTCGTTGTTCTGCAGAGACATGAATGATGTCAGACGGGACACAAACTGACTGATTGTCTGATATTTGATCCAATCACCTGCTGGGCTTCCTGCAGCTGCTGCTGTAAGTGACTGACGTGTCTCTCTAGCGCCGCCCTTCTGTCTTTAAGATCGTTCACCTCCTCCAGAGGAGCTGCAAACTCAAACTATTCAACACACACAAATCAGTCAAGCAGCGATTACTGGAACAACTCACAAACGATAACCACAGGACTAGTGTACGGAGAGATTTAAATTACATGAAACTTTAAAATATGTCATGGCATGATGAAATAAAGTACAATGAAATGCAAATATATTTAATTATGCTTAAATTTATTGATTGCAACATTTTATTATATATTGATTTCTTTCATGTCCTTTTTCAATTTTCATAAATAAATAAATGTATTTCACACCTTTTTTTAAATTCATGCTTACATTTAATCATACTTATTGCAATATGCCATTATGTTTTTAATGATTTCAATATATTTTTATTTAATGTAGTCTGTTAAATGCCTCCATACTAGTGTCCAAGTACCAGCAGTTATAGTTACTACAATGAAACTGTGGAAAGTTAGTTTTTCAAAACAAGAAACAAACAGTTTGCAGCAGATCCCGAATTCAGTAAGAACAGCTGCAGTTTGATGTACTACGGTACTTTGATGGAAGCTCAGGGTTACTGTGGTAAATGTCCGCTCACCTCCTCCAGCGTTGTGAACTTCAGCATGCGGATCTTGTCAAACATCAGCTCCACCTTCTGCCTGATAACGGCTTCACCCTCACAGGACCTGAGGGAAACCAGCCGCAGAGACACAGCTAAAGTCATGGCAGTCTGATCTGCATCAATCAATCACTTACACCAGTATTTACTCACGCGTCGCTCCAAACCAGCTGAATAATAACTCGTATGACTTTGGAAGAGCTGCAGTGACACTTTTTCTGGAGCTTCAGCACATCTGTGTTTATTATTTCAGAACAAATAAAGTCATGCAGGTTTGGAGCGACATGAGGGCGAGTAAATAATGACGATTCAGCTGAACTACCGGTTTTAGTTCAAAATCATCGCTCTGGTTCCTCAGGATCAGGAATAAACTCAGTTCTCCTTCAGGTTCATCTGATGTGCTGAGATGGAAGACGAACAGAGTCTGAAGCGCATCTACAGTCATCCAGCTGAACAAACACGTCACTATTCGAAGAATGAGGAGGAGCAGTGCTTTCTGGGACGTTCATCAAGAGATTCCAGGAAAGCATGAGACTTTTTTATCATAATATCTAATATATGGCATGTAGCATAATGCTGAATGATTACCATATTCGTATTCTACAGTATTTGATTTCAGAGAATAACGTGTTTCTCATGTACATAAAACACACTCACACACTAAAGCAGCTGAATGAACAGGATCTACGGTTCGTTCTCACCCATCTTTCAGGTAGTTAACCATCACCAGTTTAGCGGTTTCCTCATCGGGCTGATCCGGAAGCTCTCGCTGTCCTTTCAGAAGATCAGGTGTGGCCTTAGAGACACGTGACATAATGACTCATGAATCAGCTCAGATGAATCGAACACAATCAAATGACTCGTTTGTGTGTGTGTGTGTGTGTGTGTGTGTGTGTGTGTGTGTGTGTGTGTGTGTGTCCTCTCTATCTGCGGTCGTCTCTACCTGTCCGCTTCCGTTCTCTTCTTTGACCTCTGACCTCTCCTGCTGCCCTGCAGATGTGGCTCCGACCCCTGTGACCTCTGACACATCTGTCTGCATGAAGCCGCCGACTTCCGTTCCAATCCCTGTCCTGTCCGATCTGGACTCCAGACTTCTGGAGCGCCTCTTCTCCTCGGGTCCGATTCTGCTGCGGTGAGCGACTCGGCCGGTCCGAGGGGATCCTGCGCGGTCCGTCCTGGTGTCGTGTATCTCTGAGGCGGCTACAGACATCCTGCAGATGATATGAGACGGCTGGTAGGGGACGCTCTCCACCGACGGCTCCTGGACTCCCGGCACAGGGATCCTGGCTCTCTTCACCATCACGGGCGAGGAAGGGCTGCTGCACCAGCCGCGGTGGTTTCTGGGATCGCAGGCTCTCAGGATCTCAGGCTTCCTCTGGTAGTTCAGCAGCTGGGCCGACGGGTTCTTGAAGGCTCTCAGAGATCTGTAATGATCCAGTCGAGGAGTTTGAGTGCTTGAAGCGCTGCCGCTCATATTGGACACAAACTCCTGCCGCTGATGGTCGGTGAGGAAGACGTCGGGATACTCCGGAGAACATGGTGCGCACCTCCCCTGAGCGTTCAGGACCACGTACGGCCGGCCAGCGATGCCCTGGACCTGGACTTTCACCCCAAACAATCCCGAATCATCATCACCCTGAGACGCTTGAACAGGGTCAGACTGAGATCGTCCATCATGAGCGCCAGACAGCTCCATCTAGGAAACAATCACTGACTCAGTCCAGACTGAAGGAGAATCCTGACAATGAATGACATCAGCGTGAGAAACAATGAGTGTTTAGAGCAGAAACACAGAGAATGATGACGCTCACTTAGCTCTCTGAATGCTATTGTTCTTATATACAGCTAGTTATAAAAACTACAACCTCAGCCTAACAGAAAACCTTCTGCATTTTTACAATTAAAAAGTACTTTACCTCATTTTATACCAATTTTACAAATTGAGTAAAATTGAGTACACATTTGTCTCTGAAATATGATTAAGTAGGTACAAACACACACACACACACACGTTTACTTAGCTCTCTAAATGGGGACATTACATAGACTTCTATTGTTTTTATATACAGATAGTTATACACTTTTTAACCTAAACCCACCCCTACCCCTCACAGAAAACTTTCTGCATTTTTACAATTTCAAAAAAACTTTGTTTACTTTATTTTTATACCAGTTTTACAAAAGAGGATGTCCCCAAATTTAGTTTTTTGGTGATTTTGTCAGGTTTTGTTCACTTTTGGGTACAAATTTGTCCCCAAAATATGGTTAAGTAGGTGCGCGCACACACACACACACACACACACACACATACATTCATAAAATGCACACAATCATTCTTCAAACTACACTGATTAACTTATAAACAAACGTGTGTAGAATTAAAATGATGTCATAAAATGACATATTCAGGACCTTTATATTCCATAAATAATTTCTGAATTCATGTCACATCTTTCTCTCTGTGATCAGACTCATGATGATACAATAGGACTTTTCGTGAAACTGTATCGTTTCAGCTATGGATTGAAAGCATTCCTCATATCGTCAATCAATTTATCAGAAGATTTCAGATACTGGATACAGCTGTAATAAAAGCTGGTTGAAATGGTCGGTTTATACTGTTAATAGATCAGTTCTTGTAATGGAAAGAAGTAGTTATTGGATTGAAATGATCTTACCGCTGCAGTCTTCAGTCACAGACACGGCTGGTTGAAATGGTCGGTTTATACTGTTAATAGATCAGTTCTTGTAATGGAAAGAAGTAGAGTTATTGGATTGAAATGATCTTACCGCTGCAGTCTTCAGTCACAGACACAGAACTCCAGCACAGAAACTCAGCGAGGACAGCAGATGTAGACACGCCCCTCTGCTCTGATTGGGCAAGAGTCAGGCGAGTCCGCCTCTCAAACCCCGCCCCCGACCCTCTGGGGACCCGCCCACACCCTGAACACACACACACACACACACACACACACACACACACAGATAACTGGGCAGAAATGAATAAAAGCACTATGAGACAGACAGAAAGATGACTTTAGTCAAGGACAGTTTTCAGCCCAGAAACAGTTTTTAAAATATGAACATGATACTTAGCCAATAACTGTGATTCTTTTCTTTATAAAACAGGAACCGCAGTTCAATTATCTAATAAACTTTGTTTGAAAACTATGAAAAGAACATTTACATCTGATGAATGCATTAAATGTCATTGGTAATAAAGCAAGATTTAAAAACAGTCTTCGAGCAGGAGAGAGTGCTCAGGGTGTGTTTCTGTACAAAATGAGCAACTGCTTGACATATTGTGCTAAATAATCGTACGACACTGAGCAAAAGATGAAGAGAGCGAACGACAGCAAGAACAGAAGACAGCAAACATTTCACTTGTTGATGCAGATGAGTGTGATTGCTCTTCTGAAACAGTGTGAAGATCAACAGATCCTGCGAGCGAAAGCGCTGACAGACAGATGATGAACGGGTTATTCAGGCTGTTTGAGTGCAAATAAACACAGTCAGTTCAGCAGAAACACACACCACGACCGTGATGTGGAGTGACAAACTCTCCCTCTCTCTGACTCACACACACTGAGATGTTTAGCTCCGTCTCAGACGCTCTGATGATCTGCTGAACACCTTTCTTTGTGCTGAAGACTGAAAGTCATGCGGGCTTGAACAACATGAGAGTGATGAAATGATGACAGAATTGTCATTTCTTGACAAACTATTCATTTAAAGAACATGATTGAGATCTCACATCAGAACATCAGAAAGAAAATAACAATCAACCAAATGAGACACAGGATGGGATGACACTTAGACCTTTCCTCGATTTCTTACTAAATCTCTCATGTTTCTTCATGTTCATTTAAATGCTTTTTGGAGATTTGTAACATTTAATAAATACAAAGCAATCATAGCCATCAAAATATAGATTTTATTTGCACTTTATTTGTCTTGTGCATTCAGCCAGACTAGATTATACTTTCAATTAAACATTCTGATTGGTTTGTAAAAGCTGTTTTTCTTCATATTTCCCTATGGAATGGTCTCTCCCTTTGTGTCACTGTGGGGAAACTCCTGTTTACTTTTGACGTCACACCGGCTCAGCCCCCACGTGCTCCACTCTCCCCACATCTCCTCATTTCGCCGGTGTGCTTCACACAGGAGGATCAACTCCCCTCATCAGCTGTGAGTGGCTTAGGTTCCTTCGGTGCTTCTGAGGTGGAGACTGCCGTCGATGACTCTGTGTCCTTGACAGCGTCAGATACTGAAGAATGGTGTGTTCCGGCGAAGAGCCCGAAGCCCCTTCTCTCTCACAGTCAACATGGCCGAGCATGGTCAGCGAGCTGATCCGCGTTCTCTCTAAGGCAGTGGATCTCGGCTTGGATTGGTGGCCCCGGAAGAGCCCGCCCATGGCCCCATAGATCAGTGGTTCCTGAAGGGATGCCGCCAGCAATCCTCCCGTCAACGGCCCGCCCCGTTCCTGCCTGCAGTTCATGAAGTACTCACCAAAACGTGGCGTGCCCCCTATTCAGCCTGTGTTAATCCCTCCACTTCTGCTGCTCTCACCACTGTTGAAGGCGCTGAAGACAGAGTTTACTGCAAGCTCCCCCCTCTGGAAGAGTTGGTTGCTGCCCACCTGTGCCCACCATCAGCCCTTGGATTAAAAGCCCATGCAGAGCACCAGGTGTTCAGATTCCAGGTGAGCAGGGCAGTGCTCCAGGTGTTCAAGGCAAAACTTCTCCGAAGCATGGATGAGTCCGGCCAGTATCCTAACGCCTTCAAGAAGCTGCGCACAGTGACTGACCTGGCTCTGCACGCTACCAAGGCAATGGCGCAGGCAATTGGCAAGGCCATGGCCAATTTAGTGGTGCTGGTGCTGAATCTTACAGAGATCAGGGACGCTGAAAAGATCACCTTCCTCGACTCACCAGTCTCTCCCAAGGGACTATTCGGCCCTGCCATGGATGGGTTTGCTGACGCTTCACTGAGGCACAGAAAAAGTCACAGGCTCTGCGTCACTTCTTGCCCAAGTGCTCCAGTGCTGCGGCTGCTTCAAGTCACCAGAAGACCCCATGCACTCAGCAGCCTGCAAAGCCGGCGCTGCCTCAGCCCCAGCAAAAATCTGAGCCCGGGCTTCAGCAGCACCCTCGGACGGCAAGACGGTATCCTTATCCGAAGCGCCAAGGTCCCCGCCCCTGAGTGGTGCTGGTCCGAGAGCCTCAGAAGCCATCCTGATCTGTGCACAGAGAGGAAGAGGAGAGGGTCAGTTCTTGCCGAGGCCGAAACTCCCTGAAAGAATGCTCACGCTCATTCTCCACCCCTCCAACTGTTTCTGAGCATTGGAGATTTTATTCTTGCTGGGCACGTCCTTCAAATTCAGCGCGTACCCAAGCAAATTACCGCTGTGATAGCGGACCCACATACTCAAAAGAGTAATTCTCCTCTCCTCATATCCATGAATGTCAGTTCTCCACCCCCATGTGGTGAACTACCATTCATAAAAATAGAACCACTTGCCATCCGGCTCCAGGCTTGGGAGGCCATCCCCGATGTATCAAGCTGGGTTCTAAATATTACAAAATGAGGTTACTCGTTCCAGTTCGCTCACTGGCCACCTTGTTTCAGAGGTATTACTCAGACTTTGGTACAGGACAAAAATGCCCACGTTCTCCAGTCTGAAGTACAAACACTGCTTGCTAAAGGTGCATTTTAAAGCTTTTACAGCTGCTACTTCCTTGTTCCCAAAAAAGGTGGCGGGCTCAGACCCATTCTCAATCTCAGGCATCTGAATCGCTCACTTATGAGATGGCCATTCAGGTTTCAAGATGCCGGACATGTGGCAGCCTGTCGCAGCAGCTCTGAATGTTTTTAACTTTTTATACTTTTTTTTCTCTTTATTCTTTTTATCGATGTTTGGGGAGTGTGTTTATGATGAGTTTTAATTTTGAGAGTATCAAGAAGCACTGGATTATGATTCTTCTTATTTTGCCGTTCCAAACTTCGGCTCAATTATTTATTCCAAAGACCCACTACTGGCACTTCAGGATACAGCGATGTCATTTGGACCAAGAATGGAGATTCCTGTGGAACTGCAGAGGAAGAGGAGGGAATGTACAGCTGGAGTAAAGTGTCGACTAAAGAAAAGACGACGCAAACCATCATTATGGGAAATGGTCGTACACTGCGGAACACGATGGAGGAGTTAACGGCACTAACAAGGATGCAATGGGAGTACCATGATTGCAGTTTTATGTGCTTTACTGAGACTTGGTTGAGAGAGAGAAGGCCGGCCTCAGTTGTTGCATTAGATCATTATCATTTTGTGTGAGCGGACAGGTGTGCTGCAGAGACGGGTAAGAGTAAAGGAGGGGGACTGGCACTGTTTATCAATGAGCGCTAGTGTAATCCAGGTCATTTTACAGTTAAAGAAAAACTGTGTAACAAGGACATTGAATTTCTTGCTGTAGGAATGAACTACTTGCCGAGAGAATTTTCACGTGACAGCGATAATGGTGTATATTACCACCAGTAATAAGAACTGTTAAGAAATGGTCTGAACCAGTCTATGAAGCATTAATGGACTGTTTTGAAACAACTGATTGGGAGGTTTTGTGTAAACCACATGGTGAAGACATTGATAGTTAAACTGAGTGTATTACAGATTATATTAACGTTTGTGTCGACAATATAGTCCCTACCCAAAAGGATTAAATGTTACTCAAATAACAAGCCATGGGTTACTCCCGAGCTAAAGGTGTTATTAAATGAAAAAAGAGGGCCTTTTTAGAGGGTGATAGGGATGAGCAAAAGAGAGCGCAGAGGATATTAAAAGTAAAAATTAGAGAGGGGAAAGAGTGTTATAAGTAAAAAAATGGAATATAAACTACAACAAAAGAATGTAAGAGAGTTTTGGAAAGATCTTAATGGGATGTCTGGTTATTAAAATAAAGTATGGGGGTATAATACTTTGGGTGATCAAATGAATGGGTTAATGAACTGAATTTATTTTTTAATAGATTTGATGGTGGGTCTAATGATCTAAATTACTCCTCATTAGATGAAATACTGCAGAGCTCTGCATTCTGATCCACCTCCAGCCTTACGTTCATCTGTTTCTCCCACTTGTGGGTATGTTCCTAGGTTTTCTATATCAGTGGAACAAGAAGTGGGTTAAAGAGAATTAAGAGGAAGAAATCTGCAGGCCCTGATGGTATTACTCCTAGAGTCCTTAAAGCCTGTGCTGATCGGATCTGAGGGGTGGTTCATTATATTTTTAACCTGAGTTTGTGTTTGGAAAGGGTACCTTTTTTGTGTCTATGTGTAGTACCAGTACCTAAGATAACAAACCCCAGGGAGTTCTCCCACTATAGACCAATTGCCTTGAAGATTGAGAGATTGGTACTAAACCATATTAAAGCAAGTAATGTGTTGCTGAGGATAAACTACAGTTTGCTTATAAAACTGGTGTCAGGGTAGAGGATGCAATTATTTATCTCTTACATAAATCACTAAGTCACTTAGAGACTCCGGATAGCACCGTTAGAATTACGTTCTTTGATTTCTCTAGTGCATTTGATACTATTCAGCCTGTCCCAGGGGCGTAGCCATCATTTCAGAAGTGAGGGGGACAGAAATGTTATATATACTGTATATTAAAAAAAAATAATAATAATAAAAAAAAAAAATTATTAGGAATTTCCTCATACGACTTTCTGCTTGCGAGAGCGCCCTCCGGCTTCGAGTATGAATGAAACATACACTGCACGTGTATTAGCGCAGTGTTTAGCGTTCCGCGATGTTCATCTCACCTTATTCTGGGTCCAAATAAAACATCAG